ATCATTAACGATTCTGAATATTACGTACGAAATGACGGAAGATTGCTAGAATTTAAGTAGAGAAGAGAACGTATAGAATCGACTGCCAGGAAATGGCCGCCATGATTGGCCGAATAGTTTCGTGATAGCGGACTCCGAGAAGTTCGCTGTTTGGGTAGCCGAGTGACGAGCAATGGACTAGTCGGGGGAAGTGTGAGTTATCCATTTTGAAAATAATTCTTTGCTGGTCGGTGTGGTGCGTGAGGAAATTTCACTTTTAATATTGTATAGTAGACTAGTGTTTACGATTTGGCAAGCACTGTTAACCTTGATAATTTTAATCATGTGAAACTGATCTAACTTTGGGAAATGGCAGACGGAAACACACACACACACACACACACACACATATACATACGTACACACACACACACACACACATATATATATATACATACATACACACACACACACACACACACACACACACACACACATATATATATATATATATATATATATAAACAGGTAGTAAACCTTTGGTATAATCCAGGCGAGTCCTATTAACACAACATAGAATTTGAAATATGTTTAAAAAGATGACTCACAATAAACAGAGCAGAGATAGTGCATGTGTAAATATAAAAGTGAACATAGAAGTCAATTTAGAGAGCGACAGTCTGTTTCATGCTATATGCAATCGTGGCCTGACGATTGCGCCAAGCATGAAACAGACTGTCGCCTCTAAGTGTTGACTTCTATGTTCACTTTTATATATATATATTATAAAATGGACAAAGTTCGACAATTCTTTTAAGACATTTTTATGTTTATACATTCTTTTTATAGACACAAATATTTAAGTAAATGCTCTGTTTTATGATGAGCAATATTAAACAACATTTACCAGCCTGAATGTCCGAGAAATTTTCATAGAAAATATTCGTCCTCCGACAGGAATCGAACTTGTATCCTATGCGGAACCGTCATATAGCCGCACGTGCCTTTAAACGATTTGGCCACAGAGTAGTGTTCGGTTAACAAGGTCGATTTTACTGTCTTTAAACCCCAATCTTCCATGATTCTCTTACGTGAATTCATATCTGCTCATGGCGTATCAAATGTAAACAAATGACGTCACACATGAAATGGACAAAGTCCGACAATTATTTTAAGACATTTTATTTTTATACATTCTTTTTATATATACTTATTATTTAATATATAATATTTAAGTAAATGCTTTGTTTATAATATACAGTATTAAACAACATTTATCGGCCTGAATGTCCGAGAAATTTTCATAGAAAATTTCTCGGATATTCAGGCCAGTAAATGTTGTTTAACACTATTTATCTATGAAAAGATTTGGGCCTTCCTAAGATGTATATCGATCTGTGTAATCTACAGGAAACGTTTATTTAATCGACGGTGGGGAGGAGACTGTTCTTGTACTACTGCTCATATCTCGGGATATTTTGTCTAGTTCTCCATATTTTGTTCTGTTCAGTTATTGCTCACCCGTTTCCACTTAGTACAAGTACTCACTGTCCGGCCCAGGGATTGAACTCACAACTACTATACCGCTAATGAAATTGATACTTACAACCAGAAAGCGACGTCTGAATTGGTGAAACTAAGCAATGATGCTCGTCTGAAAATCTGCCATGGAAATAACGATTGTGCAGCGAGAGTCTGGCAATCTTTCGTCTGTAAAAATGAGGTGGTACCGTGGGAAAGAGTTCATCACTCACAAAGGTCACTAAAGTGATTTTGCCCTTTTGTCAAAGCTGGAAAGTGAAGATTGGGCAGACCCAGCCTAGATATTGCACTTTTGGTTTGATCTGACTCATGTAATGCCAGGGCAGGGCAGGGTAGAGCAGAGCAAGGCAAATCAGTGCAGGTCAGGGCAAGTCAGGGCAAGGCAAGTCAGGGAAAGTCAGGGTAAGGCATGGCAGGGCAGGGCAAGGCAAGTCAGGGCAAGTCAGGGCAAGTCAGGGCAGGGCAGGGAAGGGCAGGTCAAGTCAGGGCAGGTCAGAGCAAGTCAGGGAAAGGCAGGTCACGTCAGTGCAGGTCAGGGCAAGGCAGGTCAGGTCAGGGCAAGGCAGGGTAGGTCAGGGCAAGGCAGGTCAGGGCAGGACAGGGCATCTGGTACAATTTTTTTTCCAAATTATTCATTTTGATCAAAATTCCTCAAATTCCCCCAAACTGATGAACCTGATAGGCCAGACAGCAGTAGACGCGATGGATTCGCTTGGGGGAATGGCCTCAGCAACATAACTTATATATGACATCGTAGGTAAAGAGCTATTGTAGCATTGCGTGTCAGGATGCTTGCTTGCGCCAGAAAGATGCATTACAAGCCAAGGCAAAAATGGAGCAACATGTCAATAAAAAAAACAAAAAAAATATATTCGCTCCAATAACCCGTATGTTGATTATGAAGTAATTTTAGAGGGAATTTCCTTTTAAAGGCTTCACCTACTTACCAACCAATATCAATGTTAATTACACAACAGAAAGGCTCTATCATCACTACCAGTTGAGCAAACAGCATCATTGTAAGAATTAGCAGTTTCTCTAAGACACTCTAAATAAAATCGATCAAGCCAGCCATACCAATTCAGACGATGATAAACACATCAATCAACCATCCCCAAATTCAATATATACGTGACTTATTAGATACACAAGTAATATAGCAGTGGCAAATATGGAAGGCAGACAGGATTTTATACCCCATCAACGGCACAATGGTTTTTGGGGACCATAAAACTGAGCCATTCCTAGGTAGAGATTGTTTATGTCTTTCTTGAGCTACAGTAGCAAGCGTGTATCAGATATAACTGAATTCTTTAAGAAGAACAACGGCAGATGGAAACCAGCGAACCACAGCAGGTAATGAAAACAAGAGACCTGCTCAGTGAACGCGTCAGCAACTGATAAAGCAGTTCTCCTACGAAGAGTAATATTTCTTCTACATGCTGTGCCGCTTCAGGACGTGGGTGATTGTGGCTCTCCACAAACCCTTCTGCCTTTTTTGTTCTCCTTTCTAGCACCGGTTCCACCATCCATTCCTGAAAGTGCTTGATATAGGTAGCTAGCTGATCCACCCCGTCCTTTTCTTGCCTTCGATATGTCCTGTGTTAGATTTTCAAGGCTCTCTTTTCTCATTATGTTCCAGTCGGATTCGTGACATTAACCTGAAAAGGGTCTGAATCTATATGCTCCCCTAGTTATGGGTTAAATAGTAAAACGTATATTATTTACGTTATTCGGACTATTGTTCTCATGTTTGTCGCCATATTTATTACAACGTTTCGGTCGTTGTACGTTCCGGCCTTCTTCAGGTGGTTGGAATTTCGAATTGAACCATTTATTTCGCTCGCTGGGGTAGACTGTTCTAGTTCCACGTGCCATGTTTGATAGATGTCAGTTATCAGTTATCTCCTGCTAATTTCCCTCTGAAAGTTCTCCACTGCCCTAACCGGGTATTGAACTCACACTCTTTTGGGTCCTGTCACTGGATCTAACCAACACCTTTATCCACTGGGATAAATATGGCGGCAATAGTCCGAATAATGTAAATAATGTACATAATACCTCATCTCAGAAATATAGACAGACTCTAAGACGTATATCTGGAGAAAAAAAAATCATTGCTTTAAATTTTTCAGGGAAAAGAAGTATGACAAAGTGGAAAAAGTTTTCGTGTGATGCGTTTTGTCGGACCAAATTTGTTTACGTTCATCCAACTGCACATGCGCAGGAAAAATAAAGAGAAACGCTAGGGATTTTTAAAATTATTTTATTTTTAATTTAATATACTTTGGCTATATAATCTAGTCGATTTCATTTAGATTTTTAGATTCCATTACTTTGTAGCGAAATTTTCGTGTTTTCTTCATACTCGTTTTAGCTTTAGCAAGGCATCTTTCTTTACTCTAACCCGTATTTGGATTTCAGTGCCAAGTTTTGAGGCTTAAAAAAAATAACCAAAATTTTGAACGTGTTAGAAAGCAGTAAAAAATTTAAAAACATATTTTAAAAAATGCCTTCTCCATTCATATAATAACATAATAATTTTGACGATAAAATTTTTTTTTAATAAATTTAGATCATTTTTCATCATTTTATGCTCTTTTTTCAGTGAATTATTAGAGGTACCCACTCTAAAATAGCCGTATATTGACCGATCTTAACCAAATTTTGGGGAGAAGTGCAAACAGATAAGTGTGGTACGAAGTACATTTTAATTTTTACTGAGGTATTTAAATTTTCATTCATTTTTTGGGAAAAATTAAATATTTTATTAATTAACATACAAATTACTACCACTGTTTAAAAAAGTCAGTTTAATGATTAAAATAACAAATATTTATTTAATAAAAATGCAATATTGTTTTTTGCATATCTTTTCTTTCATTTTTTATATACAAGCATCCATTTTCTAGTTTGCACTGCGTTTGCGAAAACTACAAACTAATCACAAGGCCAAACGCTTCAAAAAGTTGGAATTTGACTCCAGGAAGAAATATTTACGCGTAACATGTATGTTGCATGCTCAAGGGTAAGAAATCCAAAAAAAATAATTTTTTGTTGTTAAAAAAGAAAAAAAAAAGAATTTTCTTTAAAAAAATATTGTTTACTGTTGTGGATTCCGAGGTGAAATTCGGTCTCCAATGAATGACAAACGCAGGAATTAACGATAAGAAATTAAATGTA